AAATAAATGAGGTAAGTGAAGGGTACAGTCAAAGAGGGCGCCACGAGTGTTCTTCCCTTACCATTAAAAGCGATCAGTGTCGGTAAGCGTAGGTAAGCTACCACCGTCAACTGCTGCATGGTATTACCATCACGAGTACGTGAGCCGCCAGCGGCGACTGGTAGATGGCACCGCCATCGCGAGTGCGTGAGTCCCTGTCAGAAATTTGTTGCGCCGCCCTTGGGCGCAAAAAGCGGTGAAAGCTCACGTACAAAACCAGAGGGCAGCACACGACGCGATCGCGCGACCCTGCCCGTGAGCAATCTCCCAACTCATCTCTGCCTATGACTACTTCATTTCTATAAGCTCTATGAACGATGGGGATCCCCCACTTTGGCACCTGCGAGGCGGGATTCTGTAAACGAATTCGATAGCTAACGAATTGTCGTACAGAATCCCGCCTGTGATAACATGGTCATCGAACGATTGACAACGGTTGCCGTTTTGAAAGTTGATGAACCTGTACGCTACCAAACCATTTCTACTGGGCCCCAAAATTTGGGTTGAAATCGACATAGAAGAAACAAGCAATACGTTGCAACTGCGGAATAATCAAGAGTAATTAATAATAATGTCACGAAGAACAGTATCCAAGCAAGATTTTTCAAATGAGATGGATCGTGTTTTGTTTATTCTTAACCGAAAAATATTTAAAGTGAAGCGGTACAAAGAGGTTAATGCCAAATTTAAGACATTGGTTACCGATGAACAGCGTGTTATATTTATGTTTGATCTTCTCAAAGAATTTGGCATTCAACCACAGTCGACATGTGGCATAAAAGCTTCAGCAAGATCCGAATACATCAGGAAAGTAGGTAACAAAGCATTTACTACAGGTCCTGCCAATGGTTCACAATATGTCGTTGCATGGAAAACATACTCTGAAAGCATCGCTTATTCTCCCCCTAGATCTAAAGAGCTCGCTCTGGCCTATGCAAACAGATCTGCAGTTCTGTTTCGATTCAAGAAATATAAGGAAAGTCTGGGAGATATCGATAGAGCTCTGGATCTTGATTATCCTGATCATTTAAAACCGAAGCTGTTATTGCGTAAAGGAGTGTGCCTTAGGGCTCTCGGAGAGCAAGATTATGAGAAACTGTTTGAGGAAGCTTATCAACTGATGAATAGAATGTCTATCCCTGAAAATATGGGCGAGATGAACAGACTCGATGAGGTACGAAGGCAAGTGGAAGAAAAAGAATACCCTGTTCCAACGATTACTTCATGTAATCCTGAAGTTCCTTTTGCCTCCGATGCAGTAGCGATTAAGTATGATAACATTTTTGGGAGGCATCTTGTAGCTACTCGAGACATAAAAGCTGGGGAAACACTTATAGTTGAAAAACCGTATGAGTTGTTCTTGGCATCGGAACACATGTATTCACATTGCGTCAAATGTTTAAATATTGCTTGGAGCAGCATTCCGTGTGACTATTGTTCTTATGCACTGTTTTGTTCTGAGAAGTGCAAGGAGGACGCCTGGAAACAGTTCCACGACATCGAATGTCCCATAATTGGTCTTTTGCAAAATTTAGGGATGGATACTAACTTACTAAGTATGAGGCTTATTATAACTCTTCTGAGAAAAATGGGAAGCTTTCAGAAATTGCGAAAAGAATTGGAGATTGTTGATAACTGGAAAGGTACCAAAAAGAATATTGGATTATAATTGTTCAAAGTAATTTCTGAAATTTTTCAATCTTTAGATTTGAATAACAGAATTATTCTTATTTTTGTGTAGATCCTCGAACAAAAGGGTTCTCAGATGGAAAGTTTGACAACGAAAGTTATCGTTCTGTATATAGTTTAATGACTAATACTGATAAGAGGTCTGTGCCAGATCTCTTCAAGAAGACATTAAATACAGCCTACATTCTCTTTTTTTTGGCAACGAGGACTACAATGTTTGGAAACAAGTTGGAAGCAAACTTTTCTGCCCTTGGGAAGAATCCGGAGCTCACCTTTGTTGGCGGATTGATATTGCGTCACCAGCAAATGATGTCTACCAATTTCTTTAAAGTATAAAAGTTTTCACAATTAATTTAAAATTTATAACTGATATTAGCTGTTTAGTAAGTTTATTTTATTATTTTTGCTACCAGTTTGGAGAAGATCGAAAGGTTGAATATATTCTCCGTGGCGTAGCGATCATGCCATTTTTAAGCCTTATTAATCATAGTTGTGATCCCAATACCGTTCGACAGTCCAAAAAGGCGCATATGGTTGTGTATGCTCTTTTTCCAATTAAAGAAGGTGGACAGGTAATTAGTAATTAGTGACGAAAATCTGATTTGGGTTGTGCCATAGTAAGCATTGTGCCAAAATGTTTTTCGAGATTTTTGTTATGGTGAAGTATAGTTCATCGAACTTATTTACATGTCGCTAAAATGGTGTATACTCATAATTTAATTCAAAATTTCAGTTGTTCAGTAACTACGTTCCTTTCTATGGTCTATTGGAAAGGGATACTAGACAAAAGGAACTCAAGGAGCAGTTTTTCATCGATTGCCATTGTCGACCATGTGAAGAGAATTGGCCTATGTACCATGAATTGAAACCATATAGAGTAAGTCATCAAAACGATGTAAACAAAATTTTATCCATCGATTACTAAGCCGATATCGAGTATATTCTTGTGCATAAAACTTTAAAGGGGCTTATAGTTGTACTCGATGTTAATAACCCACTAAATATCGTTCGGAATAATACATTGTGTTACTTTAAAATTAGACCTTTACTTATTTCTCACTTTCAGCGTTAAAAGACGTATTTTAGAGTATTGTTGAAAGCGATCTTACTTATGCCTTGCTTTTAAATCATATTTATAAACAATCCTTAAGGTGATATGAAAAAGTCAGCCTATATATATCTGTCAAGTTTGTGAAAGTATTTTCCAAATTGGATGTACCGTTTCGTTTCAAATTTAACCACGTGAGCATGGAGGCCCTAAGGTACGTCCTAAAATTCGTGAAATTTCATTTTTTCTTATAAAAAATTTATTCATTTATAACAGGCTAGAATCAACTTGGCGTGGTCTATGTACGTTTTTGATGTTTTACGCTTCTTGAAGGTTTAGAATCGAAAATGAAAAGTTCCAGAATTTAGCTCGAACGATTTAGAATATCATAGAAATGTAATATTACAGAGTCAGATGGGGAAATATGGAAAATACTTTCACCAACGATTGCAAGAGAATGCTGGCTTGTCCGGTGGCTAACGCATGTTTATAGAGCAAAAATATAGTCGCAGCTAAACGTCACAGATGGCGCCATTGATAGATTATAGTACTAAAAATCATGAATCCGCGGTATTTCGACAGTTTTACATCGACATTTTTGTCATTACTTCACTGAAATTACATATGAAACGCTTCATTTCGAATAATTCTCAACGTAGAGTGTAACATATTTAAACATAAATATAAATGCCGGTAACATGACGCGTCAACTTATGTTATCATTTGAATATTTAAAATAGCGTTGCCACCAAAAAAGGTATAGATGTATTTTATTTTATCGACGTCAATTCAGTTTCTTAGCACCTATCATATTACTTTTCGGATTTTCTTTAAAAGTGATTTAAAAGCAAGGCATAAGTACGGTCTCTTTTAACAATACTCTCAAATACGTCTTTTAACGCTGAAAGTGAGATATTCCTAGTAGTATCGAATAATTTTTAAATATTTGTTTGTAATCTTTGCTAAATATTTCAAGCGACAGATTGTTACAGATGTCTTGTAGATTTCATTCGAAGATATGTAAAATATTTGTTGGAAATCTCAATGACGCCTTGAGTTTAAAGAATTTAGAAACATGTATCGAAATTACATTTTTTAATTTGTAAACATATAATAAGAATACATTTTTTACTTCACGATTATTATCGGACGCTTCCTTTGATAGCGAAAAACTTGACAAATTTTTGTAATATTTTCGTTCCGCGTAATTTAGATACGTATTATTTTCGTACGTGTAATTTAGATTTTTAATATTTTTAAAACGTTTATAGGGTATTCGGTAAATAATATTTAAAAAATACTTATATTATAATGAAACGAAATGTTTTGTGTACCTGTTAGAAAAATATTATGAAAACACACGGAGCTAATATTATGCAAATATAAAGTTAATATTCTAAAGTAAACGTTTTGCAAATATTTCAAATGTCTGCTAAATATTTACAAAATGTATGACACTCGTTTAATATATAGAAAATATAGGACAAATATTTTGTGCTAACAGGGATGAGTATGGGACTTATTAGTATTTTTGTAACTAATGCGTATTCTCTTTTCTTGATTACAGAGCCTTGTCACGTCACCACACCAGATAGAGAACATTAGGGAAACTCTAAAAAATTTCATGCGATACCTAAATCTGATAACGGCGGGGGATCTTGAGTCAGAACCGGACATGCTAAAGAACATGTACAAAATGATCGAAGTCTTATGTGAAAGTGTACCTGGGCCTTGTGCAGAGATCTTCCATATCAGTGGGACAATTAAACGAGTGATAATTTTAGAAGGAAACGTCTTTCACGTACCAGAAATCTAAAACTCTGCCACTCAGTGTATTCGCATAAGGATTTACAAATTCTGCTGGAACTACTTTTAAAAATTCTGAGTCTGAAAAGTTTTTTAAGTACACAAATCGTACCATTCAACATAAAACAGTATTTTAATATTTACTATTCAGATTGCTATTATTTTTATAATCCAGTGTGCAAACTATTTAATAAGGTTGAATAATGTACAAGATGATGCTTTTTGTTTGTCAAAGAGAATAATGTTTTATTTTTGTTATCTTAATGTATTTTAAAGTGATGTTAATTCCTATTTTATGATGTCATTTTAATTCTTCCGTTTATATTCTCTGCTTTATTATATTTATTTTCTCATAAATAACTAAGGTGTGGAAAAACATCGGTAAATACAATCTTGTTATCCTTTTCAGTTATAAAACGAATTCAAATCGTTTTCTCTTTTTAAAAAATATAAAGCGACTATTCTTGCTAAGTACAATAGCACTTTCATCCCTTTACAAACTTAAGACAGATATGTTGCCAAATGTTATAGTAGTAACTTTTGTATTCCCGCAAAAGAGTATGTCTAGAAAAATCTAGATAATTTTATATTTCATCTAACTCAATAATAAAAAATGAAAAATAAATCTAACAGAATAAAGAACAAATTAGAGACTCAATATGAAAGCAACATTTTATTTGGCGAGCATTATGGTATGCTCATACTACTTTTCGTCAGTATTTTAGTGTTCGCCAAATAAAATGTTGCTTTTAAATTGTGTTTCTAATTTTTTCTTTATTTGATTACATTTAGTTTTAAGATGTACGTGCATTATACGGGACACAATTTACTGTAACATTTGATAACTTATTTGATTTAAGTTTGTAAAAGGATGAAAGTACTATCGCANGTATTTTATAATAAATTCGTCAAATGTATCTCCGATAGGACATCATGGAATAAGATAATAAGGAATAATAAGGACGAATTGCCTAGGGTCCCTTATGGGAGCTCGTGTCCGCGAAAAAGGATATAAACATTGTTTAAAATTTTTTCTGTAGGTGGCAATGTTATCGCTAAGGGACCAAGAAAGAGTACTTAATTTCGTGAATCTAGTCATGCGAGGGATCTGTCAAATTAAAAACTAGGAAAACTTCATGTTCTACTACCTGAGTCAAAACTTTTTTTAACACTATTTCTACCACGATTTTGTGTATACCTATTTCGACCAAACGGTTTTGATGAGCTGGAGGAAAATGATACTGCTAAATAAATTTAACAATTATTATACAAAAACTTAAAACATTAATTGAGAAAAAAATTATTAAACTTTGAAAATAATTTCAAGTTAAAATTTTAAAAGGTGTCTTTTGACACCTTTGGTAGAAATAGTGTTAATTACAGTACTTAAATATGTCAAATAAATGCCCATAAAAATATTTTATAAATAAAACCTTGCATTGAATACCTTGTCTTAGTTTATTTGGACAATGTAACCGTATTGCAATTGTATGTCTTTAAATTCATGCCCGCGTTTGATTCAAGTAGTGGTCCCTAAGCGAATGTGGCGCCGCCGAACAAAGAAAGCGCTGTATCCGATTTTGAAGAAACTTCTATAACATTGTGTTCGTCCTGCTGGTCTCTAGTTTCCATGACCGTATAGTTCAATATAGAGTACAAGATAGAAATAATAAGAAGAATGTATCTACAAGAATGCCCGGTCTGTTAAGTCTGTAAGAAAAGGAAAGTTCCTCTATGCCAAATCGGCGTAATAATAATAAGTATTGTTTTTGTTCCAAAAGAGTGTTTTATTTACCATTAATTAAAATAGATGGTTGGTGACTCGAGTCAGATAAAATATTATTAACACGCATGTGGCCAAACCCGCCATATAGAAAATCAACAATCATAAATCCACAGGATTTCAACAGTTTTACATCGATCTCTTTATCATTACTTTACCGAAATGACACATGGAACGCTTCATTTTGTATAATTCTCCATGTAGAGTGTAACATACGTCAACGTCAATATAAATGTCGATAACATAACGCGCCAGCTAATGTTATCACTTGAATATTCAAAATGTCGTTGCCTCCAAGAAGGGTATATATGCTTTCTATTTTATCAACGACAATTAAATTAAACACGTTATGTAGTATAAAAGTAACATGGAAGTTAGATGTTAGTTATTATTTCCCACTCAGTAAGGTAACATGTTATGTAACATGTTATATCAATGTTATATTAATGTTATAATTTCAGTTACCTTAAAATAATATTAATTTTCATACATGTAATAAAAAAGATCACGCAATTTTATCCAAAATTATATAATTTTTTATTGTTTATTATTTTTTGGTACTTGACAATAGTTAGATATTAAATGACAAATCAGACTTTCAATGAAATTATGTAATGATAAACTATCTGATTTTTCTTAAAGACAATTAGGATTTCATTCGACTAGCAAACAATGACTGATAATGTATACGCGCGTATGAATTAAAATCACATTTTTTCACACGAGAAGTAAACAAAATATGACATATATTAATCTTATGACATTTGACGATGAATTATGACAATGACGATAGTAGTATAACAGTAGCGGTTCTGGATACAGATTCCTGCACCGACATGTTACCGACACCTCGAGAGCCATCGACGGTTCTCGTCCATGCTAACCGCCCGTCGTCGAGCGTGAGATGACGTCATCGTGCCCGTCGTCGAGCCTCGATTTCCGAGAATTTTCCGGAAATTCTTGGAATTAGGCCGGAATACCGCGAATTTCCACCACGCTCGAGGTAGTTCACCCTAGCGTCCGCGGATGGCGCCACCGTAGGAGGGTGCGTGTCCGTGCTAAATCGC